AAGGCCAGCAGTTTTGTATGTGGCACCATGTGTCATTCTGTCCTGCGCTTATAGGAGACTGTCTTTTAGAGCAGTAGTTTGCTCTTACAGTTGCACTGAAGACAGGCTCTGGCTCATGACCTTTACAAAGAAAAATAAAATTCTGGCAAGCAGGTGGGGAGCTGGGCTTCACCACTCCCACTGCCGCTTGCTGGATCACAAGCGGGATGCAAGTCCAGCATGCCCACGCCTCTTGGAAAGCAGCAGTTCTCTTTGGGTGGCAGTGGGCCAGGAGCTCTGCCCAGGCAGAGGAGGGTCTGCCTGTCCATTCTCAGCTTACAGCCAAGAACAGCCGTCCACAGAGCGCCACATAATTGCTGCTTTTTATTTATTCCACACGGTTGTTTGAGGTTGACCACATTTGCTGTGTTTGAAATCTATTTTGGTGTCCCTGTGCAGTCCCACAGCACTCTCCAACTTTGCCATTCAGAACAAAACAGACATCGTATGAGCTCCTTGCCTTCAGCTGCCCCTAATGCGGTGCGGCTGAGAGCACTGCTTCGGATCCACTTCACTGTCTCCAAAGGGCTGAGCTCATTCTGGGAATGTTTATGGACCGGGGGAAACAGCTCAGGCAACCCATGATAAAGAAAAATCACATTTATGTCTGTCTCAAGCATGGCCATGATGAAGTGCACACACGTGCCAGGAAAGCTGTTGATGCTACATCTGAAGGAGAGAAGAGACTGAAACCTTTAGGAAGAGCAGATGAACACAATTCTCCGTGTTTGCGAAACCTATAGTCACGTGTGGCCAGGACCCATGCTCTCCACACTGATGGACATGGACTGAGGGTGGGACACTGGCTGAGAGACACTTGGGTAACCACAGCCAAGTCTGAACAACGTGGTTTGACTGCTCCAACCTTTGGAACTGAACCTCCTAAATCACGATGCTCATTTAACACCAACCTCCTACAGTGCAATACAAACGCCACTCTTCACTGCTCTGAATTAACCTGATTTGCTTTCTGTTATGCCTACTGCTACCCATTCTTTCTAGTTGTGGCCTGGTCTGGGGACATATGCTAGGGAGAATACCTTCCAGTTCCAAATCAGGCCTAAAACTGAGCCTAAAATACTGCTTTACACAGGAAAACCGCTCCACTGAAACTGTATTCCTGCAGCAACTCATGATGTTGGAACCCTAGTTTGAATCCAGTTAAAAACTTCTCCTTTTGGGCAAAGTCTATGCTTGCTAACATTAGAAGAGCTGACTAGCTTAAAAAAAGGGAAGCTACTTTCATCTAAATGTCAAATGTCAAACTACATTATTGAAAAGCAAATAGAAAGGTAAATATTTCAGAATAACGATGTTACAGTAAAACAACTTAACAGCACGATGCGGGGTACAACTCAGAGAGCTACCAAGCTCCAGCAGACCTCCGATACACACATCTGCAATCTTGGCAGCACTCAGAGTGCTTCCTCCACCCCAGAATGCCCCAGAAAAACCCAGCCTGCTGAAAGAATGCATACTTTCTGAAACAGCACAAAATAAATCTTCCTCATTTGAGACTGATAGGCAGAGCACATGGAACAATCTGTGCTTTTTTTTCCTACCAGTAAGACACAGGCTAAATTCCTCCTCTTTTCCAAGAAGGCTGAACCACCCACACCTTCAGAATTCTTGATAGGTGACTCTTCTCCCACAGCCAGAAAATTTGATCTGCTCCTCCCAGGACAGCTGTATTTGACTCCCCCTCCTTCCTTCTAAAAAGGGAACACCTACCATTGGAAACATCCTGATTTCGCGTTCAGAAGCAAAATGGAATGTTAACAGTATATTCTTTTGAAGAACTGCAGGTACCTTCCTCTCCGCTGTGATAACAAAAATCCAACAAACCTAAAATAATTTCAGTAGATTACTTACAGTCTGAAATATTGCCTTAAACTTGCTTCTCAGGCTCTAAGTTTGAACAGATTTTCTCTTAAAGAATGTATATTAAAGTTTTACAAGTTTGAAACATATGTTTAGGGAAAATATGACTACATGAAGAGCTTCAGTTCTGCAGATCCCCAGGAAGTGCCCTGAGCTGGTCTGCAGGGCAACAGTGATCCACGTGCTTATTGCTATTGCCCAGCTGGGTTTCTCTGTTTGCTTGCCATTTCAGTGACACTCATCTTCCCTTGACACATTTCCAGACAATTTTTTAATCACCCTTTAGAGATAGCCTAGCAATGTGAAAAGCCACCTCTTCGCTGAACTGCAGCCTCCAGTTCACACTTGTTCCAGGTGCTCTGAGAGTGGTACCCATAAGTGCAGTTTGTGCTTATTAACACAAGAAAAGGTATCTCCAGAAAAACATTCTTTCTTATCTTAGCCCATCCCTTTGGGTAAAAAAGAAAACACCGAGCCTGCCAAGAAGAAAAGCTGTTCAGAACTGTTCATCTGGTATCATTCAAAAATGTGCCATACAGCACTGCAGTCCAGAGAAGACAGACCTTGAAAATCCACTAATTCACAAGCAATTGCAGACCAAAACCACCACACAGGGAGTTAGAGTACTGCTTACTCTCTGCTGTTCTTGGACCACTAGCAGTAACACCACAGAGGGTTTGCAGAGCTCCTTCTTTCAAACTGATGCAATAGCATAGTACAGTGACAGCAGGATGAGGAAACACCAGCCAGTCAGCAAGAAGTTCTCAAGTGACTGGTATGAAGATTTCTAGGCTGGATGCCAGGAAAAACAGAAGCACCATCCAGCAGCCATTTTCAGCAGCAACCCGCCCACGGGCTCCCTCAGCACAAGATGGCTACACCTCTGAGTCCCTGGGTGAAGCTCAACTCATTTGAGCTACAAAGACTCAGGCACCTCAGGACACTCCAGCCTGCACCCCGCAGGCTGCCAACAGAGAGGGCAAAAGGACGGGGAAAAGTGCAAAAAGGCTGATTTTTATTTTTTTTTTTTAAAGGCATTGGCTTCCTTTTTCACTTACAAAACTACTCTTAAGAAGTGCTCACAACCTTTTCTTCCCATTTAAGCAAGACAGAATATTCCTTGTGAACTTCATGGGACTTCACTCTTCTCCTGACCTACCAGGAAAGAAGCTACCTTAAGAGATGGCAGCGACCTGAACTCTACAGAGGCACAGACGTACTCTCTTACACTTCAGGCTGAAGAGAACCTTAGGTGAGCAAAACCCATTCCCACACTGCTCCTTTGATCCCACCAGTGCGCTAACCAGAGAATCTGAAGTGGAACAATAAGCGCTCTTAAATATGGATTAGAGAAAGCTCTTTAATACTTTCCATACTTGGGTGCAGAGAAAGCAATGAGCACTCTAGTGAGTAATTCCTTCTTGTTTACTGGCTCTCTGCATACACAGGAGCTTAATAATCACAGGAAAGGGGCTACAAAAGCAACTGCCAATAAGCAAGACCAGCAAGAAATAGCTACCATTCCCCAAAGGGCAGAGAGGCAAAGCTGCCCTTGTTCAATGCAAGGTCTTACAAAGATGAGCACAAGCATGTGAAGGAAACCGCAGTCAGTAGCTACTGCACACAAAGGAAAACAAACATTGGAACCAGGCAAAAGACAGAACAAGAAAGTCCTACTGAAAGCCACAAACATGCTCATCCATCTAGCACAACCTTCCCAACCCACTGTTCACAAAGCTTTAGTCTCATTTATGTTTAAGTAGAGATCAGTTACTCCCCACAATTTCTAAGCAACAGTTATGCAGGAGAGAGTGGTGTATCACTAGAAACAAGATGGAAGTCTCTGACCCTTTTAAAGACTTTCTGCTGTCAGAGCACAGCTGCTGTAGGACATCTGGAAGTTTAGGTAGATTTGTGGTACTCCAGCACTTCTGAACATTGCTGATCTTGGCTCAATATTATCCACTACCCCAATTTTAAAGCCTTAGCTTTCTTGTGTAAGGATCAATACAATTTTCTAGAAGATGGCATTTCTGCATAGTCCAGGTGACATCACTTTTCTTGCTATGAAAAGCTTTGAAGTTTCTGCATGTCCCAGTAACTCACCAGTGCAAGCGAAGAGCATGGAGAAAAGCAGACAGCCCCTCCATGACAAGGAGAATTGCTACTGTCAGGGTAGCGAAAGCAGCAAATATGAAGAAGAGGCCAAAGCCTCCACCCAGACTCCTCACGCTGAGGCCAATGTGGATCACCATGGTCCAGAGCACCTCCGAGAGCTCTGCCAGGACAAAGGGGAGAAGAGGGTTCATTTCAGAGCATTCGGCAAGAATGGAGGGTCGTTACAGTTTACTTATAAAGCAAAAACTAAAGTCAAGCAAACTCCCCACTACAATGAAGTAGGAAATTTAAGAGGGACAACAGCTTTTGCAGCCAAGTATGTCACGACATTGCCTCCAACTGTTGCATACAGTGCAGGGCAGGGTCCTTGCTCAGCAGCTCCTTGTTTTGTTCAGTGCTTTCAACTCCATCCCTCCCTTTTAGCAGAGCGTTATACAAGTAGGCACTGGTGTTTAGACTTAATTACTCCCAGCTAATGCACAGACAGCTCTGTCCTTTTCCAGCACAGTGCTTGACAGCTGAGCCCGAGAGGCCACTTGAATTCCTGTCTTGCACCTACCACCTGCCTAGGGTGATCAGACACACGGATCCAAATCTCATTTCCATAAGGAATACTCACGTGCATGGGCTAAGCTGAGAGCCCAGAGCCTCAAGTAGGATGCAGTGTTTGAAATGCACCCCAGGCAATATTCGATGGTGTGGATAGCCTGGTACACCACAGTATCGCCAAAGTCAAACTGCAAAGAGAACACAAAAAATGAAGAGAGCTGCGAGCCTTGCAAGCAGCAAGGGCTGGCCGACCGGGGAAAGTGAGCACACTACTTGGTGCTATTACAAAGGGCATTGTGTTTGAAGTTAGACACTGATACTGTCTTCTCCTGGTTTAGCATGTCAGTTTTATAAATGACAAATGAGTTCTCTTGTCTTGCTAGGTTTTGTAGAATGATAGTTTACTGCCGTGGCTTGAATATTATTGTTTTCACATTCTAGTATATGGAAGTAAGATATTTCAAAATCAGCCATGGACTTTGCCAGGAAAAGACTGTTCAGCAACAAGATGGTATTCATATGAATTCAGTAAATTGTATGTACTATTACGAAAAAGGAGACAGCATTCCAGTCGATACTGCGTTATGTACCTTTGCTACAGGATCAACAAGAGCATTTTGCAAGATACGAACTTGCCCTTTTTGAAAGCAAAAATAACGCATAAAGCAATCTTGAAAAAGTCACATCTGTGCACCATTGATTCGCAAAGTCTCTGTGTCTTGGTAATTGTCTGAAACAATAAAAGAAGAACTTATAAGGAAGTCTGCCGTGCAGGACAGTTTCTTATTTTGCAGCTTGGCAAAGCATTCCCTACATTTTGGATTTAATCCATGCTTCAGAAACTGCTCATATTTAAGTTAAGTGAACATGATGTTTTAAATACATCAAGTGACTAATGCTCTAAGCATGCACAGAAAGCTATTTATATTCTTATTTCTCCCCTAGTACATCCAGAGCAATAAATATTTCAAACAATTAAGTTAAATTAGCTGTCAAAAGCCTAACTCTTTCTCCACAGAGTGTGAACTGCAAAGTTCTTTATTAAAGCCTGCCCCAGTGAACAGTACCACCTCTCAGCACACATGACAAGTCAGTGTGCAGTAAATGGAATGTGATAAATATTTAAACAATGACAATTTACAGCCATATGCAACTGCTGAAGAGTTACCACTATGCTAGGGAGTGGGAGAATCAACAGGATTGCTATGGCATGGTATTTGTAACTTTACACATTTTTCATAGGTTTAGTGATATATAGAATTAACAGGTACACCAGCACACTGTTTTCACACCCCCCTCAATTCTAGATGGACCTATGCATAATAGATCTCTAAGCAAAACCACTTTGAGCACAATTTACAACAGCATCACTGTTGTGAAGTGACTCTAATTTCATGGCATTTATATTTTTTGTAATAAAACTGGTCACCTGACAGTGCTGAAACCTACAATCAATCCTGCATGAGTATTCCAAAAAAAAAAAAAAAAAAAAAGGTTTCTTTAATACTCATACTTGTTACAAGTCTTTATGAATGAGCAGTTTCTCAGAACAGAGCTTCTCCTTTACAGAAAGATACTGGTTAGCTAAGTTGTTGAACTGTATGGAACTAGAATGGTTTTGCTGTATTTGCTGACTGGCAACAACCGGTATCATCCTTAAAATGGCAGACAGTTTGGGAAAAAATATCTTTAAACAGTTTGTTGCAGTCCAGAATTACCAAAGACACAACATAAGGCAAATGAGACTTCTTCAGAAGTTTAAAAGCAAAAACTTTTCTGTTTCAGACTTCCAGCTTAACAGCTTTCCAGGTAAACTAAGAAAGATCTGCAGACAGGGGATAAGACAAACAAGCTGTACAGATGAAGTAATTAAAGGTCTGTTAATGGGCATGTAAGTATGAAGAATTAAAAATGGCCTGTAACATGTAAATAGCCAGATCTTTTGGAAAACAAGATGTTATGACATAACATGTTTAATTCAGCATGTGTTTTACAACAATGGGAAATGGTCCAGATACACATGAACGCAAAGCTGGCTATAGTCTTACCACCTCATCCTCTGTAGGCTTGAAAACATAAGTTTACATTTAGTGTGATGCCTCAATCACAACATTAATAATGAACACATTCAATAATTCCCTCCTAAACATGACACAGTAAAGCAGTAACACATCATATGCACTACAGAGGCAAGATACGGCTGGAGAATTCTTAAGAGGCATCAGAATATTCCCAAACTATGTGAGATCAGCTCCTTTTTCTTCTCTACCAGAGGTAAGGCAAAGCAATTAATATTAGCCCCAACAGTCAAAATGAATATATAAACAAGATTTCACTGCTGCAGAAATACAGCCCCTGGATTTTCGCTGACACTGGAGAAGCAGGTAGCACAGTTGCACTGCACTTCAGCCAGAGTGTAAGTTGCAAATGCCATCTGGGAGTACTGTGCATCTCACTGTGTAGCCCCTAAGATGATGGTTCTTTGTACTGGGGACAGAGAGACCTGTTTCCCTTTATATGCAAATTATACTGCTTTTTCTGGAGTCCTGGGGATGACCAAGAGATAGTCTGTACAAAAACTGCTATGAAAACATTTCACTGAAAATGCTGCTATTTAAACAGCTTGGAAATCAGTAAATACAGTCAAAAAGCTAGCACATTCTTCTACCAAGCACATTGCCTCGAGAGCGAGGACAGTCAGGCGCTTACCTCTTCCCCCTCCTCGGAATGGGTAGATAACTGGTCATGTTGAATGATCTCAGCATCCTCCTCAGTTGGTCCATTGCCCACCCGGATTCCACCAAAGTTGTGCGTTCCCTAACACATGCAGAAAAAGAAAGAGCAAACTGTTGTTTGTGTTTTACTGCAAGAGCGCATGTTTCTTATGACTCCACGTGCAGCAGCAGCTCACAGGAGAAAACAAAATATTAAGGCCCAGGTTAAGCCAGCTGTACAATTCTATTTCCCAGCTTGGATGGGAAAGGTGCTGATTCCTCCTAGGGCTGGGAAAAAAAGTCTGTCTGAATGAACACTTGACACATTTCTACAAAGTCATTACAACCCTAAGTAAAATAAAAGGCATCCCTCTCAAGAGGACATTTGCTGGCACTGATGTGCAATAGGCCAACGTTTTGCCCAGCAGCTGTTGGACAAGCCCTGAAACACCACTGCTGTTGTAAATGAAAGCAGTCACATAATGGCAACTCAAAGCAGAACAGACTGACACAAATATACATACGCACACTTGCTGCTCGCCAGCCTCAGGCATACTAACACCACACATGGGAAATCAGACTTTCCCTTACTTGGAAATTCTACGTTGGGCAAGCAGTTCCTTTTTTAGACATTTGTTCTGACATTGAACATCTGACCCTCAGTCATAACTCCATTGCACTCCAAACAGAAAAGAATAATCCACAAACTCAGTTGAAACTTTGACAAAGTCAGGAGCCCTTCTCACTTGTTAACTCTGCAATGATTACAGTTGTCATCTGATTTATGGTGGGCTTCTTCCTCCATACGATCTTACTACCAAGAAAGGATGCACAAATCTGTTGATCGTCTGTCAGTGCCCTCAAGCAGAGCTTATATGCATCATAAATGTATATTTGACAATGACAGCCTAACATGCACATCACTGTCTTTGGACGTCTGTTCAGCAAGCAGCGCTGTGCAATGTACAGCAGGATTTCTACCTCCCTCCAGATGCTCCAAAGACAGAAAATGCTCATGACTGATCTGAGGGACTACAAATTAAGACCTGTGAGTCTGACTCACCTAGAGAGGAAAACTGGAACACCACAAATGGAAAGAAAAGCCCTGCATTCAGCTTTAGCACTGTACTGGGGTCATCTGTGACATGGAATGTGAATGGGCTAACTTGACACATTAAGACGTCAGTTTAGGGATGACTATGCAAATCAAGGAGGTTTAAGATCCCGTGACCTGTCTGCTTTCACAGTACATCACTCTGGCATACCAGAGGAATCGCTGCTCAATGTTCTTTTAACTGATTTGTTCTTAGAAGCCTACTTTTATTTTTATTAGGCTGAACTATAAATTTGCCAAAAATGCCAGATGTGAATTAAAGATTTTTGTTAGGTTTCTAAAACCAAATTAGGTAGACATCTATGCTCTGAAAACAGAAAAAACCATTAAGTAAGACGATGCTTTTATTAGGATTTTCAGCATCTTTGAAACATTACAAGTTACTGATGACTAGTATCGGTATTCTATTTAGGCGCTTCTAGCCTGTGTGAATTTGCATTTTTGCAGCTCTTCCCTCGCACTGGACTTGTATCCGTTCTCTGTAAACTATCCACTCTAAACATGGCTCCAAAAGCTCTAATCATTTACTTTATACTTCTAACCACACCTCATGCAAAGACCTTCCCTCACAGCTTCTTGTATTGAGATGCACTTAATATGCTGGATGGATTATGCACAAAAGATCCATTTTCATTTCTGACATTTCTGTGAGGCTACTTAAAATGTCATGACAGAAACACTGGCCAACAGCTAAAAGGTGCCTCAAAGTACCTTTGACATGTGGAGTACACAATGTGCTTCACATAGTTTGTGAGATTTATCCTTCCTAGTTAGACAGGCAGAATTCGCATCTGTTGCGATATTGAAATATGCAGTACTGGGGAAGTGACCAAGTTCTGGAAGCTGCTGCAATCTTCACTCTGCCAGACAGCTTTGCCAGTAAAGGGCTGTCTACAGGTTTAGACACAAATAACTGGAAACAACTGCTACCAAGAGGCTTATTTGTGCACAACCATTTTATAATAGTTTCAAGTCAAAGTGTCTCCATGAGCACAGGTGTCAAAAATCCAGTAATTACTGATATGAAGTTGTTGGGAGGCCATCACATAAACACGATGTTTGGGAACACATAATGCAAACAGAAATGCTTCACTGAGAAGAATCCTGATCTATCTTAAACAAATATGCAAGAAAAGGAAAAAAGGGGAACTTAACCTGGGGGGATGTGGTAGCAAGGTATTCTTGTGCTGCTCTGCAGGTTTTGATTTCAGGAGCACTCCTGCAAAGAAGTGTCTCTGCATTCTGTGCACACATAACTATTATCCTTCAGCCTGGTAGTTCTTCCAGAATGTATCATTTTTGCTGAACTTTGCTCTTTCCAAGAGAAAGTGTTTTTCACCCTAAAGGTGCAGTTGTCATTCAGTTATGAAATTCAGATACATTCCATGCTCTCTTGATAATTAGATAGAAAGCCAACTCCCATCTTTAAATCCATCAGGTGATTTTTAAATCCACTCACTGTTGCAGCCGCTGCTGCCTCTAGTGCCTGCTCGTTCGGGACTGTGCTGACTTGGGCCTCCACGGGTTGCCCTTCCTGATAGTGAATGGAAGAAAAGAAAGGGAGGAGGAAGAAAACAAAAAGAGAAAGGGAGACGAATGGAGGGGACATGGGAGGATGAAAGATGGTCAGAGAAGGGAGAGGGAGTGTCTTTAACTGAACTGATCTTTGACTCACTTAACATCCTAAAAGCTGTCTGCCATACATGCAGGGAGAATTTTCAAGTATCCTCAGTGCACGTGTGCCAGGTTCCTGCATTTTATACAAAGATACTTTACAGTACAGTTGGAAACCTAGAGAATACTCCAGAAGATCACCTCTCATATAATGACTGCATAAGTCTATTTTTTTTTTCCTTTTGTTATTTTTACCATCCAAACTGCCTCAGCAAAGATAGCTGATAAGTCTGCCAGCCAATTAAGCTTCTATCTCTGCTTTTACATTGTCAGCCTAGCAAAGGCACAGAAGTGCATCCAGCAACCAGTAAGACAGTGTTCCTAAACCAGCTAACAAAGCCCAAGTCAGATACATTGTTTTTATCATTACCAACATAAGGGGTTTTTAAAAGCAGGTTTGATGCTGGATCCAGATCTGAGAAGCAGGCAGGCAAATACTCTGTCTCCAGTAAAACCCACCTGCCTTTATGCCTAGGAATATGCAAAAACATTTTACAGGTCACAATGCAGCATGAACCTACATATCCAAGATCAAGATGGAGAACGTAGCTTTTCAACCATAATTAGTTTTCATACTGAAAATATAAGAGGTAGTCACCCACCAAGTGCTTTCTCCTTAAATACTGATGGCGAAGGACCAGGGGTTTAGCTACCAGCATCCATGGCACACACAGTAACGCCACCACCACAAGGAAACATTGGAGCCCTTGCTGTAAAAGAAACAAATCTCAGATGATTTAGCGGCAGTCCATGCTCAAACACACAAAACCTAGTAAGAGGCCTTATGCAACACTGAACAACTGAATTCCCAGAGTATGTGGATGCTTCACTATCTCTATTCCGGGAACAGCAAGATGTGCTGTACTTAAAGCCTGCTTGTGGCTGCCCGATCTGACTGTACGCAGCATGTAACACTGATACTGGTTTAGATAAGGGAAAAATCCAAAAGATTTTGCAGGGAATGAGAATTTGGCAAATGTCTGATAGTGCTGGGAGGAAATAGCGTTAGCGCCTTAGCTAAGCTTAGAGGCACCACAGCGCAGATGCAGAACAATATTCCTAATCACTTTGCACAATTAACCTGGATCCAAATGTTCTGGAGCCACAGCTGGTTTATGTTCAGACTGATATAAATTCCTGGTATAGGGATTATTCCTTCCTTCTTCAACATAGTGGCAGGCTTTGGAAACGATCCCACATTTCCTCTGTCATGGAGGAAAAATGTTTCACACTTGATTTCACCGTTATTACAAGGTCAATGAAAGACTCTAATATCATGAAGCATCTCTTATCTTATTCTAGCAAGAGGACGCACCTGCCCTTTATAAAGCATCTTATTACTGGTATCACTATAGGAGAACAGAAACATGTTGATAAAATGTATTAAAAGGCTTGGTGCATCCTTTGACGTGTGAGCATCATATGCCGTCCATTTGTAGAAAATGAGAATAACAAGGTATCCAAACAGTGACGACATGAAAATAATTTCTGGAATAAATCCAAGGTATATGTTCAGTGGCTTCTTAAAATAGCTACAGGAAAAAAAAAAAAAGAGCGTTTAGTATTACATTTCGTTAGTATTAGGCATATGTAGGGTAAAAACTTTTAATGAGAACGTGAAGAGCATCTTGGAAAGAAACTGCAGGGGCTCAGCATTTCAACAACAACGGGGACTTAAACACAGTAACTACTTGACATGTATAGTTCTATATACACAGACAGAAACAACTGTATTGCGCCTTTCAATCAGAAAGTTACAGTCTGATAGGCTCCTGCATCTTAAACTAACACACACGTTACACCCAAAGAAGTCTCCCCCTCACCATGAGAAAAACAGAGCAAAGCACTTACATATGGTTGAGAAGACTCAATGTGACACCAAAGAGCATGTGGATAATGCCAAGAATCACAGACATTTTCATCTTAAACGAATTTAGGAAGGCCAGCTTATTGCTGGCAATATTCCAAATCTGTGAAAAACAACACTGAGTCAGCCAAACACTAAGTAAAAGAAAAACAGAGGAGAATGAAAATGTTCACTTTAAGCTAAACAGTACTAACCATCCAGGAAATACTACGCTGTAAGAGCAGGTTTTTTTAAAGATGTGTTTGTCACACAGATAGCTTTTGGGGAAATGAGCAGACAACCTTTTCTGCTAGGACCAGTGTCTTACAGTAACTGATCCCATCACCAGAGCAGGAATCAAACCTTGCTTGTTTTTATGGTAGGCAAAAATTGCAGGAAAAAAGAGGGCTGTATCCTTGACAGAAAAAAAAATTGATTATCCATTTAAAAGAACAATTACACATAGTTCTGACTTCCTGCATTTCCTCTTTAATGTGGAACACATGCAAGCTTTGTATCAAATATTCTAAGCAATGTTATTGATTTAGGCAGATACAAAATGACAGGATTACTTGGAAACTTGCATTTCCAAGACTGACTGAAAAAAAGAGACAAACAACTTTTCCCCAAGGTAAAAAAGTAACTTCATAAAGTGATTTGCAACTCTAACCAGATTTGCTTAAAACGCTGCAGGTTAGAAACGGTGAGAAAGAAGCCTTCAATGGACCTAAGAACAAGTCTTTCTGTCCTGAATCTAGTGTCTCAATAGGAACTGAATTAATTTTATTGTTCAGGAGTATTTCCAACATTGATAAAGAGTTTGCTAAGGGAATGGCTGGGCTGTGGAAATCTTCCACAGTGAACTGGACAGGCATTTTTGTTTCTGTTGACACAGAGGATGTTCTTAAAAGACAGCAAAGGAAGGAAGAGCTCTTACTGGGTCAATGCCAAAGGGGTAGGGTCCACCGAACACCCCTGGAATAGCAGGGTTCAGCTGAAGCAGAGGAGTATTCTCTAGCAAGGCATCTCTGTTTGGGTGTAAGTAGATTATACAATCATTAACACAAGCAACACTGTCCTCTTTCTGTAAAAACTAACAACATTCTTCCCTTGTGAGAGTAAGGAGCATCTCAAATTGAGAAAATGTTAAGGCTCCTGCGTGGTCTTAGAGATTTTCCCAAATGAATAATAAACCTGTTTCTTGACCTGTTACTCAGTGCCACAATGAAGAGAGATGCAGAGGACAGGAATCCTGCTATGTCTATGAGGAAAAAGGTGCTAAACTGCATCTTTACAAGTTTTCTGGGAAAAAAAAAAAAAAAAAAAAAAGCTGGTTTGAAACTTGATAGATATCACATTTACACCTCTCTTCCAATTCTACTTGAGACTGAGTTCAGAAGTTTTCATTTTCCTGAGCTGGGAGGACAATGGGGAAAGATAAGTCACCTGCTTATCACTGTCATTCTTTATCTAGTTACCAACTGTTTACTCACGACCAATTGCCTTTTGAGAACATCGGCCGGACGCTCCATGATGAACCGAACATATTAAGGGACTTGGAGAAGCAGTCATTGTAGATGAGGCCTGTGTAAGTGGAGAACAGTCCCATCAGCAGAATGATGTATCGACCACTAAAAACCATGTTGAACATCTAGTATAAAAAAAAAAAAAACACAACACAAAAAGAAACAAAGAAAGTCCACTCAAAGGCAAAACAGTAAAATCAGTCAGTTGCTGGACAAACAATATTGGCCATATGGACTAAGAGCCCAAAGTCTCTATTTCCCCATGGCAGGGATTAAGGATGCAAGAAGTAGCACTGCAGAACAGAAGAGAATCTGAATACAGAGGATAAACAGGCAGTGTGACTGTCCACGGAGCATCTGGGATTAGCTGAAGAGGATCAGTTGCACTCCACACACTGATGCAAACCCCCAGCTGGCAGCGTTACTTTGGAACTAGGCAGCGCAGACCTTGTTCAGCTTTCGCCATGTTCTGTCAATGTATCTTAACTCTGGTTCACCTCCTGTCAACCTAAGCCCTGAGCAAGCAAAACCCACCTAGATCAGCAAATAGGAAGAATCTTGGAGACAGGATACACATGTACAGAAATTAGGAGTTTTGCAATGACTGAACCCCTTTATGATCTAACCAAGTTTTGAGTTATTTGTTTACAACAGCTTATCTACTATACTTGATAAACAATTTGCTTCAAACAACTGAAAGGAGTAATTTCCTATAAATATCCGAGAGGAAAGCCAAAGGAACTCACTAATATTGTGAAATTATGCTACTCAGTCTGTGGTCTACAAGCTTCCTAGTCTGTCTGTGTGCTTCACAAATTTCAGATTTAACAAGTAATAGGCATTGTCAACGCAAGGGGGAAGGAAGTCAGTAAACAAAGCTGCAACTCTTTGTTTTTAGTGCAAAGCTCAGCATGACCTGCCAGTTTACCTCATTGTCACTCTTCTGTGACAGAATACGACTTTCCCTAAGCACCATCCAGACAGCAATCAGAGTCATCAGGATTCCATGGCCAAAATCTCCAAACATCACAGCAAAAAGAAACGGGAAGGTAATGATCGTATATGGTGCTGTAAGAGAAAAGATGACACTCCTAGTGCACTGTATTTGCGTAAGCCTAGATTTACCACAGTACAATTTATGCAATTTAGCAATATAATTCCCAAGCTTCTCCTCTGCTTCTGAATGGTGTTAAGTACTCTAATAGAAATTTTCACACAGGACAATACAGAGAAACACCACGACTAAAAAATGGAGATAGATGCCTTGGACTTTTATAAATATGAATTTACCTGGATTTATTTCCCGATATGTTCCAATGCCATAAGCATCAACAATGTTTTGAAAGCCTGAAGTAAACTTGTTAGTTTTGTTGTATGTTGGTGGGGTCTGATTGGTTTGCATCCTGTTTAAAATAGATGGGACAGTGGATCCACTGTGCTCCTGTTTAAAAAAAAAAAAATTTAGAAAATCCACCTTCAGAGCACTGGAGGACAGAGTACAACACTACGTTCTCATTAGCATTTGGAAAACTACAGGCTTGCATTTTTGTAGTGTGCTTGCATGATGAGAAATATACTTGAGCAGCTGAGGAAGGCTGCCAAGTTTCCACTGCTTTCCGCTTTATACAGCAGGAAGAGAAGCACTTGTAGTAAGGGTGAGCATTGTCTGATTAAGACAGACAAGAAAACTCATGCAAGAGTTCGTTTATTTTTTTTAAAACAGCAAATGAAAGGATTTCAAGACACCCAACTCTATTATCTGAGCAGAGGGCGAGCTTGCTAACATCCTGGATAGCTCCTTTCAATAAGTTCCACTATATATCTAAACAGCAGGACTACAAAGCACAGCCAGATTAACCAAATATACCAAAGGAGTCAAACACAGGAAAACGCCTTACCATTACAGCATCTTCCTGAACTTAAAGCTTTACACAATGTATTTGTTACAAAGTTTATCTATAAGCCATGAATCCCGCATGTTAAATAAACTGTCCTCTCTGAGGGCTAATTCAAACAGCCCAAAGGGATGTTTTTCAGAGACTCACAAGTCAGAAAAATCAATTATTCCATGCTGTGTGTGCCGACAGTTGACAGTCTGCTTGAACAGCAGCAGACAGGAGCAGTACAGCAGTTACTCACAGTGCCTCGCCTGAGAGCAAACTGGATAGAATCAAGGTCAGCAACAGGACACCAGACTTCAGCAATCAAGCACTTCTGTGTCACGTCGATATTGCATAGATTCAGGGTATGGTAGATAGCCTTCATCTTGCGTACTTTGATGAACCAGACACGGATATTTTTAGCGGCTGCCTGCAAAACCCTTTGGCGATGATCCTCTGTTTGGTTCAGCACCTTTCATAGGGAAGTACGATAAAGATGAGGCAAAATCATTGACCAAAACTCAAAGCATACAAAAGTGCACAGTGAAATTGGGCTGACCAACAAGATAAGCCTTACCCACCAGAGGATGGATGGATGAGCCCTCTCCCCCATCCCATGCACAAGACTGCCACATGTCTGCAATATATGCTTTAGTCTCCATATTAATTAGTTCTGCTAAAAGGTTTTAAGGTTTCTTTCCAGGGATACTTTTTGACTACTTTCCTCCTCCAACTCCAAGGTCAGTGGGTATTTCAAACACTGAATTGTTCAGAGATCACAGAGAACATTTTTTCCTCCACCCAGGTTAAAAGAGCAGAGAAGAGTTCTACAAGTAAGGTGTACATTGCCTTAAGAAAACACACAAAGATTACAATGAAAGACTTTTTTTACTGAAGGGAAAAAGAGAAAGTGTTTCCTACTGAGGATATTTTCCAGCTGGAACATATCTAACCCAGGCCAAGTCATATTTCCAGACTGGAAAGTCTCAGACTCAAGGCAAAGCAAGGATACAGGGCACATGCAGCTTCGAATCCTACTAGTTAAATTGCTTCTGAGTTCTTGTCTTCTTTAAAATTGCTGAACAGCTGCACTACACACCTCCCAGCTTGAGACAGTTTCTGTATCAAATAAGCAGTCCAAACCAGTTTTCCTTTCAGTTCCTGAACCATTTCTTATTTTCTGTCTCAAATCCCTTAAATTTTTCTGCATTATAACATACTGCACAAGACATTGGTTGTAAAACAGAAGCTCTTCAGGACAGCACAACATGAAAACATGAAGACAAGCAGAAGAAAGAACAGCTAAGTTAAAGTTAGCATTTTTATCTCAACTTGGAAATAAGTCTAAATGTTTTCAAAGTTCCTGCAGATGAAACAGGCAACTATACAAGCATGCTTTCAGAGTTGGAAAACACGGTATCTCCTTACACATGCATGTTCCTCTCTGCTCCCTGGTATGCAGTTCTCTGTTGATGCTGTACTAACATGTATATAATTAAGTGCTCAGCCCTCCAGAAAGATCAAACCACCTCACCATCCTAAACTCTGACAAAGAAAACAAATGAGCAGACAGCCTCCAAACATCTTTCTTGCACTGCTGAGCTGCTGGTCTCAAGCTACCTGGAGCTGAAAACATGGTCATCTAATAGGGCCAAAAGTTCTCCCAGTTTAATAGGTTCCAAAGAAGTTTTTAACTATATTATTAAACAAAAAAGAGCATTGAACCCAGTTATTTTACCATCTGAAGATCATCAATTCTGGTATTGACACCAGAAGCCATTTCCTTCCGCTCTTGTGGTGTTTCTGGGCATGGGTAGAGGGAGGCACGGAACCTGAAAGACATGCAAGCCACCTTAGTAACAAAGATGGAAACAAGATAAATCAGTCAAGTAAATAGATGGCTGAGCCTGAACACAGAAATAAAGCAAGAAGCACCATAAGAGAAGTTTCTGATCAGCAAAGACTGCCAAGCAGAGTTTCAATCTTTAAATCAAGTAGGTACAGAAATTTGCTTTACACCAAAACAGAAGCTGAATGCTTAAGAAAATGGAAGTGGGAGAAAATCCTCTGTTCCCTATACTCTCAAAGTGGATTAGCCATCCCAGTTCAGGGTGCTGCTATCATGCCAATGCAGCTGCTGCTAGAAGTAGTCACTGTTGGTGTCCTCTATGAGCATATCACCTGCTCACATCCCACTAGGTCTGTCCAAGAGTTCAGCACTTGAACTCCCTTGTTTTTAGGCATTCTCTAGCAAAGCAGTTATCTGCTTTCAGCACTACAGGCTCGGGGAGTGGCTAGTTTGACTGTAAAATATACTTATGGTATGTTTTATTTGCTGTCAAAAGAGGTACTCCTACAGTCACTGTAAAATAAGGAGTTGAAAAATATCAATATTAAATCATGTCAATGTGTTTCAAATATTTGAGAGCACTGTCCAGCTGTAAGATTTTCATACCCTTCACATATCTTCTTGACTCTGTTCTTCAGCTGATCACCTTGGAAAAAGATGATAAACACAGACTTGTGCACATAATCCCCCTAGAACAGAAGAAAGAGTGCACTGTAATAGCTGAGCTATTTACAGAAATTAGCATTATAGCAAATTAGAACAGAGTTCTACTTTTCCTTCCTCTGAATCTGTACATACAGAGCTTGCATCTGCACAGTGAGCCAAGAATGTACCTTAACAACACTGAAACAGTCACAACAAAAGCAATTTTCTTAGCCTCAGTATAGAATACCCCTACTGTATTTGTGTTTACGGAAGCAAAATGTTCCAGATTATGTATTATCTGTCCTATGTAATACAATAAACAGGAAAACCTGGGAAGATCTCCAAAAGAACAGACACGCAATGAATATTTATCAGCACTAGCTGCAGTCAGCTCACCTATAGAATCAAGCAAAAAGCTAAAGAGTGAATGAAAATAAGATGAAGCAGAGTTTAACAACTTTGATTCTCCAGGGAAGTCAACGGCACATTCTTCGTACAGCTGTTTTCATGTTGGTAGCCAGTTCCCTTTTCCTGCATTTGTTGACAAGTTATTGTTCTACCTTACTTAGGAAATTTTAACGTAACGTTTCAAGAATAATTACATTAGGTGTAACCTCAATTTAAGGAAGTGTTGCACAATAAGAACAAAGTCTCTCCTAGTAGAGAGATAATTCAACAGGTCAACTACCAGCAGTCGATGTGACAAGAGAAGTCGGCCTTACATGAGAAACAAAGAGGCAATTACTGAGTTTCAACTCTTCTGTCTTTGTTTCAGTGCAGCCTACAAACAGTCTTTCTTTTTACTGGTTAAGAGCAAGAGTTCCCAAAGTTTGGGCACTGTCTGTTGATTTGAGCAGAGAGGACAGTGAATGTAAAAACAGGGCCAATCACAACATTTACTATTTCTATCTGTAATAAAGCCAACAATTCTCAGGTGGATGTTTAGATTATTGATTACTAAATTAAAAAACCCAAAAGATCACAGGACACAAGTTCAGAGTAAATGAGCTACAGATGTTATACACTGCGAATGTCCAAAAGAGCCTCTTTCAAGGAGGATTACAGCTTACTCAGAACTGCATACAGGAGTTGCAATTGTAGTTTGTGCCACAGAAGTGACTATGCCCTGCTGCAGTCTAAGCTTTGAGTTGTTTTTCCCCCTTTCAAAAGCATTCACCATCCATCCTGCTATTTTTGTTTTAATAAAATGGGAAAACAGTTGTCAGTAAAGCCTCAGAGGCTGCAAGTAGGTACTGTGAAGGGACACAACACAAACATTTGCCTGCATGGAGCTCATTGAGGGACAGAGGCTCAGATCTATAGATCTTAGATCCTTTTACACATCTGATACTTTTTCTGCTGTAAACAATAGTTCCTTTTACCGTTACAGGATCCTCCAGGGGGTTTTCAATTTCTGCTTGACGCAGGAATACGTTCCCTCGGCACACTCGCCATAGCATGCGCTCAAACATAGGGATTCGCTCACGGTTGATCACACCAGCCACAAACCTGTAAAGGGGACAGCATAAATGTAAGTTCTGCACCTAAAAGAATACATAGCTTAACACTCAAAACACTGATTGCAACTGGAGTTTAGCATCAGATTGAAAGCTACAAAAATCTTGTTTTAAAATTAATTCTTTAAGCAAAATGGAAGGTCCTCTAAATACACAGAGGTAAAAACATAACAAAAACAACTGCACTATAGCACCAGCTATGCCTTTTAACAGAATGAAATTGTCTATTTAAAAAAAAAATACTGGTTAAAGGAGAAACAAATGCATTTAGACATACAGCTTCTAGGCCTGTTAGTCTTCATTTCAATAGGTTCCTGGTACATTACATGGCAAGGATTATAGCAGTCATGGCTACCATTGGCTCTGTTCTAGGCATGTGCTTCAGAAAACCTCACTGGTTCAAACCTCTACATCCAGAGAAAGAATTACACACATACAAAGACAGCCTGGAAGTGGCTAATAAAGAGGATATAAAACAATACAGTTTTCTCAGAGTATTATGTGCCCACAGTAGTTATTAGTTTCAACAAAGCTGTGAAAGCTTATAATATCTGAAAAAGCAACCAGAACAGATTTGCAACGAACAATCTAGTATAATTTTTTGTGCAGAGAGAAATGTGTGAAGCACAAATATGAACTAGGAAGTTAACATACATAGGATAAGAAGAGAGACCAACAGCAATTTTTACATCAGCCTTCATCTGCTTGATGTCCCAGTCTGGAAAGTTCCACAACTGCACTCAAACGGTTGTGGATTCCACAGACTGAACGTAAGCCAGCAATCCTAAAGCCAGATAAAAGAAAGCACAAATTGCCATTACCCAAGTCGTAGCGGGGCACCTCTTCCCATCTCGCTTGGTTCCAGGAGTGAAGAGGATTCCTCCAACAGGTCTGGATCCGCCATCTGCTGATGATGCAATTCAGCCTGAATTCACAAATCAATTAATATCTAATGAAACTAGTTAGTGGCATGCAGGGAACGAGGAACCAGGAGATAGCTTGGGGAGACAAAAAAAAAAGAAAAAAATAAAGGATAAAAGAACGAACATAAGACAGCAGAAAGAGGAACTACATGACAGAAAAGACAGCAAGAATCACACAAGGAGAAAAACAAGAGGAAAAGTGAAATGGTTCAGCAAAGTTTCCATACAAGAAAGGTCTGAAGATTGCTGCAACAGAGCAAATGGGCTGTGGGATATAAGTCTGAAGAAAGGCAGAATTCAAAAAAATTTATCAAGATTTAAATACAAGTGATGTTCCCAAGAACGATTTTATAATGGCACAAAACAGTGACACGCTTTACTCTTATCTCTCCCTAGATCTTAAATGGAGAAAAACGTGAAGGTAGATGCTGATTCCCTCTTGCACTACTTGTGCTTTTTCTGTATATTAATAAAGATGCAAAAGGCATTTCTAAGATGTGCCTGGGAAATCGTACTTTCACGTAAAGTAGCCTGGGAGTCTTGCTCTACACAACAGGAAGAATGATGCTCAGGTAAGTCTTCCACAGACAGTTTAACTGACCTTAGGGCAGCTTACAGCTTCACAAGGTTGGAATGCTACGACCAGTTATGCAAGACCAGTATATTCTATACATGTCAGCCTTCTGCCGTACTCCAAAGCAAAGGCAATACCTCATTCATTTTGGAATTATGTGACAATAGTTTGATTGATTCCATATTACTTGCCACATTAGTGCAGATACAGGGTCAGCATCAGTAACAAAACCTGGAAGTACTGGATGGTAATTTTCTTTACTGGCTTTACAAAGTTCTCCTTTCTGGAAAAACACACAATACTTCTAGCTTGAAAACATGCTTACTGATTAAATCTTTTCATTCTTCAAGATATTTATCCTTATTCACTATATGTGTTATTGCCAGACACATAAGATGCATTGCTTAGGACAGTCTGACAATGTTGTTTGTTTTTTGACTAGCCAGGCATTAAAATAGGACGCAGTGTTATACTGTACTTCATTGCAACTAATTTGCAGGCTAAAATTCTTGGGAATATAGCTTGTAAGAGTCAGCAATTCAAGTCAGGAAGGATGCTCAAATCACATCCTCTTGTGCACCATCATCATACTTCATTCAACCCTCCATCATAGTTATTTCTACCTCTGCAGCTTATATAATGAAATGACGGAAACTGCAGTTCCTTAGCATAAACAGAGGGCCAAATTCTACCCTCTGTGGTATACAGGAGGTCTTCCGCACAGACCTATCAAGGGAATTTGCTAAAACACGCTTGAAGGTAGAGTTTGACCCTAGAACACGTAAAATGCATGCACACATACAGCACAGCCTTGCAAAAGTGTATAGTAAGTTTCATGACTCGGACATAGTTTCTTTATTTGTGCAATAGTTGTCTTGTAATTTTAGTGAAAAACTGTACATTTTAGTTGTATGTCAAATAAAAGTATTTACCATATGCAAGAAAAGTTTTTGCAAGGCTGACATCAAATGCAGCTCAATTGCTTGTACACACACTTGCTTTAATTTACAGATAACACAAAAGTAAAGCAGCCCTTAATTTAGTTTGGAAAGCCAATAGGAAGAATTTCTGATCCTTTCAACTTTAAGGCAACTTGTTACAACACCAAAAAGTGAATGAAAATTTTGCTTCATAGAGAACACAACCAAAATAAGAAAGTTTGGTGCCCCAAAACAAAACACACAGACCAAACATACCAGTGATTATTTGATATCTAGATTTCAAGATGTTAAAAAACAGTAAATCACAATTTTAAGAGGCTTGTATTGTACTTATCAGTAATTGCAACACTCTCCGTGATAATTTTTGTGAGCTGCACCACATTTTAGCATAGGAAACATAAAAAAAGGATAGCACAAGTGAAAACTTTGGATCTGCCTCCCTTGAGAGAGTAATTCTTACAGCTGTTTAATATTACCTCTGACCCTTTTGGGCTATGCATCCTTTATTCAGGACACTGTATAAAACAATGACCAGTCCTGCTTAGAGGGGTTGAAATTACAAAACAAAGCATCTTAGAATAACTTTGGATTAGACCAGTTTTACTAAAAAAGAGCTTTCTTACACAAGGATTATTTGTGTAACAAAACCCTATGTTTTTTAAATTAATCTCCTAACTACTTTGATTTGATGATCACACCCTTTCTAGAAAGAAAATGGCATAGCAACATCAGCTCTGGTTCCAGGAGGATAACTAAAGCAGTGTTATAAGATTTAACAGAAATAAAAAATTGAGAGACTATGTGGAAGTGAAAGAGCTATCCAGCTACAATGCAGAAAAACAAGACTCTAGGAAATTGACCTTGAGTAAGAGTTTTCACCAGCAGTGAGTGAAGTATCATAGTTATTGTGAAGTATTTTTTACTACATCAGATCGTCCAGGATTGGAAAAACCCAAGCATTTGCACATCAGTAATTAGAATGCGAATCTTTCATTATTAAGCATTTTTAAATTGTTTATTGATCACCCAGATCAGCACCTTTAATCTCAAGGCCTGGAAAAAAGGTTCATTTTCCCTATTCTTGATTATAGTTCTGCTCTGTCATAGCTCTGGATGGCTATACACAATGCCATACAATTCAAGCCTCTTCCAGTTCACGAACAGAACAAATACCAATTTTCACAAGAACTAAGAGGGATTCATTTCACCACCTAACTTATTAACCCAGAGCCCAGACAGAAATGACAGATGCAAAACAAACAGAAAAAAGCAGATGGGGAGAAGAGTTAGAGGAAAGAGAGACAGGGGACTGCATGCCATTAACCATTACTTTTCCAGTCTTCTTTTACGCTCACACTCTAGGCAAAACTTTCAAAGAAATCTCTCCAGCTCATACTGTTCTTCGTAAGCAAAGACAAGAAGACTGAGAAAAGGAGCATAATCATCAACACGGTATGTTGAAACAAGAAATGGCTACTTTGACTAGAATGGTCATATGAAGAACAAGTGAAAAAATTTTCTCATCCTCCCTCCCCCAGTGCACAAACTCTGGAGAGCAGAGCAAACGCCAAGTATAAAGTAAGCCATTTCTTGTGCAACTTATTACTATGAATATCACAATCTTAATTACAAGTTATTGAAGTCTTCAAGTGTTGAAGGTACTGTGCAAACGACAGCAGGAAGAAATGAAGCATTCAGCACTTTGGGATAATAAGTAGATTGCACAAGGCTCAAAAGTCCTGGACTATTCAGGATCTCTCACGCCCAGCTGTTTGCCATTTACCATGTGGACTGAAACAGTTTTAAATTTTCAACTCTTATGTTTTACTGAACTTCACACATGAACTGTTCAGTTTGCTTTTATATATAGCAGTACATTTTATTTGTTGTATTTTGTTTTATTATTACAGAAAACAATAATCGAACAGGAGCAGGAACATATCTAAACTTTCTGAGGCCAGTTCATTTCAGTCTGATATGAGTTCCCTTTTATGGGTGACCTGACAGACTGTTCAGGAAATTGATTTTGATCTTTAAATTTAGTATGTCCATAATGTACTTGAAGAAAAGCAGTAGGCAGCTCTCACCAAAGAAGACAGTAATTAATAAAAAGGCACACAGCACTAGCTGTACTTGGTTTTACTCAATACTCAGTCAGAACAGGCAGGTGGTGGCACCTTAACGCAGCTAAGTAACAGATTATCAGGTTAATGCTGTTTGTCCAAGGAGACACTTGTAAGTGAACATTCAACACTCGAAGACAAGGGGGGGTTTTTTTGCACTGAAATCAACCCCATGACCAATCAACCGATCACACTAGCAGCAGTATCTATGTCAGCAGTGACTAAGACTTGTGTTGGCAAGGGAGCAACCTTAATGCCTGAACAGGGAATATCCTGTGCCAAAAACACAAAAAACAAACCGTTAGATAAACGGTCTGAAGTTCGCAGCCCAGCTCTACTTGATCACAGCCTTTGCAAATACCAGAAGCCATATCACTTAAGAACTCTTTAATCCTCGGATTAGAGGAAACAGGACATGTACTCAGCAAAAACATGTCCTTACTGTTCTAACACACATACAGGAACAGTTTGAGAAAACTCCCCAGATTTTGAGATACTTAAGCTTTACAACAAACTATTATGTCTTCTCCCATGCAGGCTTTATGTCTGTATCATGAATGACATCAGAGAAGCTCTTCTCAGGTCCAGTGAAAGAACTGCCAGTTTCTGGCCTAGCTGGTATTTGACAAAATGTTGAAGATTTTAAATGGCAGTTTTGCTCCAGAATCTACCTCTAAAAACTTTAGCGTTTGATCAAAGGTTCAAATAAATAAATAAATAACCTATTACTTCAGTGGACTTTGTATTATGGCACTCATGAGTAATCTCCATATAACATTTCAAAGGCTGAAGAGAAATTAAGCTTGATTGTAATCCCTCTGCGTAAGTGAGGCATGACTGTTTATCTGCATATGTACTAAAGAAACTCTTACTCACTGAAGAAAGTGCTCACCGTAGTGCCAAATTTTTTGTCTGTTGAAGTGATTTAAAAACTACTAGCATCTTAATTATTTTACACAATTTTCAGACAAACCATTGCTTAACTAAAACAAACCCAAAACAATATCATAAGCAGTAAATCATGGGTAGCTATGAGTACTGCATGAAATATGGAAAATAATTTGAGAAGCTTTCTTAAACAAAGCACAAAAAAGACCCTGCTGTCCAAAACAGCAACTAAAAATATATTTGAGAATAAAAATGGTAATTTGTGGGAGAAAAACCAGCTCTCCAAGTGTTAACCCGCCCTCGGTATTCTGACCTCATCAAAAAATTGCTGAGTTTTACGCAGTATAAATTTTAATTCTGTCAGCTCCAAGAAGTTTCTCTTCAGAGCTTCCTGGTTTGTGTTGATTTCTTTAAGCTCATTTTCAATTTTCTCAAAGTTTGCCTGCAAGATGTGAAAAGAAGAAGGAAAAAGGATTTAAAGTAATTCCATAAATAAGTGAGTTAAGTCTATTAAAACAAGAAAGTAGGCAAGATACTTAAATCCACACACAATTTGCATGCAATTATAGATGTGTCTCCAGTCTGCTACGGCACATAGATGCAGATTTGTGACATTCTCTTCAGGCAACTTGAAAGTTTTCATACTCAGCCATCTTTTATAGACTGGATTTATACAGTGGTCTTCAAATCATTAAAAACCCTCATAAACACAGACCCACCATAAACCATGCAGTTCCAACAGTTTTTGACTCATTCAAAGAGATCAAACTTCTTTTAACTACTTTCACTTCTAACTGTATTTGGGTAAGAGCACAAGCAAAACAATGCTCGTGAAGCAAAATCAAAGTGATGTGAGCTAGTAGAGTTAGCATTTCAAGTGACAGCTGGCAACTATAGTTAATGCACCTTTGCCACTAAATTCAATGGGTATCTACCAATGGAGCTAATTTCCCCTGTTTCCATCTATAGTCAAATACTACTTGAGTCTTGACACACAACATTACCTCCAAGTCAATCATGTCACGTGGAAAAGGCACCTCCGGGTTTTCACCAGTGTCCATGATAGGAATATTTGCTTTTTTAATCTCCTTCTCAACAAACCCTGGAGAGACAGGATTGTTAATGTTAACTAAAAAGGTACTTCAATGTCAAACTGTCACCGTAATCTCCACCTAGCCGAATTAGCCGCTGTGAATTCTTTCACCTCCTATTCCAAGATTGTCTTATCTGGTTAAAGTTACCTTTTAAGCAGGAAACAAATTGCTGGAAGCAGTCTGACTGGCTGATACACAGAAGAAAGGCAGCCTTCACTTCCCTGGTCAGCACTTTGTTTTCTAATACTGCCTTGCAGGTTTAGCCTGCATTGATTTTTTTTTTTTCTTCTGTAAAAGCTACAGAGTTAGAGCTGTATCAAAACCCTGAGAGAAACATACTTAGCTTTCGGTCCATTTCTTCACACCTCCTGACTTCATTAACGAATTTACGCTGGAACACGTTCACGTCCGGGTTCAACTGCAGAGAGAGACACGGTTCCT